TGCAAAAAAGGGGGGTCTTAAAACAAGATAAAAACACTAAATCTGAGGGAAAATGTACTCAAAACAAGTGAAATTATCTGTCCATGCAGCAAGATAATTTCACTTGACAAGATTTCTTAAATTAAGATTGTTAAATCTAGAAATAAGCATGTCTACAGAGGTGTTTGGAAGGCTTAAAATAAGCCAAACATGCTGGTTTTAAGATGAGATTACTTAAAAAGTAACTTTTTACAGCCTCTAAACAAGTGAAATATACTAAATATAAGCATAAAATCCTCGTTTTTAAGATTAGATTACTTAAAAAGTAACTTTTTACAGCCTAGAAATAAGTGAAACATAACTAAATTTAAGCATAAAATGCTGGTTTTAAAATGAGATTACTTAAAAAAGTAACTTTTTACAGCCTCAAAATAAGTGAAATATACTAAATATAAGCAATTACAAACAAAATCTTTCTTACTTTTAGCAAATTTAGCTGAAGATTAGTTAAGAAAAATATTAAATTTAGAGAAAAATACTACACTATTAGTGAAGAATGACTAAACTCTGTCTTAATCCAAGCAGGTTTATCTTGAAAATGAATTAAACTAAGATAGATTTGCAAATTCAAATAACAACCAAGCAGTTCAATCAATTAATAAATCAAATGACACAATATTTACACAACTTACATTTTTAATTCAAATTAAACAGATTTGCTAGTTCAGACAACTCAACTGAAACAGGGGTGCGGCCGCGACCGTAGCGTCTTTTTTTCTTTCACTTAACTTGAAATTTTAAGGCAGCCCTTTCGCTCATATTTTTAAGTTGAAACCATTAGTTACATTTTACAGTGCAGGCCTCGATGAGGTAAAACAATTCAAGCAAATAATTAAGTGACACTGTAATAAACTTGTGGAATACAAAAAACCATTGTAAGGCATGGGTAACAATAAGAACAACTGACATGACAAAATACTGCTTGACATTCAGCTACTTGTCAATGAATGATTTCCAATCAGCCATTGCTTTCTTATATGCACTAGTGGCATCTTGATCGTGGATTGTGTCACCAATGACCTCTGTTTGAATAACAGAGAGGAGCGTTGCAACACATTTAGGGTATGTTAAATGCAACGTGTAGTAGTATGCCAATAGCACCAACATCCCTTCTGAGAAATCTTCCTGTGGAAGGGTGGTCACAGGTACATTACCAACAGCCACGATGGTGGTTGATCCATCAAAAAGCAGAACTGGGGAGGAGAGAGGACGCTTCTCCAGATACAGGGTGGGGTCTTCGCCTGACTGGAACAGAAAAAAAAGAACAATGCGTAGAGAGTGAGAAGACATAAAAATGTATTGAAAGTGTATGATCATTTTTAAAATGAAACTATCAGGTTGCAACCAATGACTTGAGCACTCTTAAATTTAAATTCACGTTTAAAAACTCACATCGTTATTATCAGATGAATTGCTTTACAATAGTGTAGGGGGGAACATGTTAAACTGATGTAGGAATTTAGGATTGATTAATACCTGATACAAGCTGATGCAAGGTGCTAATGTTTCATCAGTGAATGAATGAATGAAATAATTAAAGGTTTTGCAAAACATTTTTTGTTATTTCCTTCTGTCAACACCATTTGAGGGACACTAGAGGCACTTCTGTTTTCCCCTTTTGACATACATTAGGTCATATCTATAACTGTGAACTTAGGTGTATTGTTACTAAATGTGAACAAGCACAATAATTTGAGAAAATAAAGGCACTTCAAAGAGGACAGTAAGGAATCAACACAAACATTTCTCACCTTCAGGATATGAAGAAGTGCCTCACAGCTATTCCCAAGCTTCTTTGGTGGTGAAGTTGGTGAGGGGAAGAGGGATGGGAGTGCATTGAAGAGGGCGAGTGTGAAATCCACTAAAGAATATAAGAATGAAAAGAATGGTCTGAATGTTGTACAAATATCAATACATATTGTATGGAACAGCAACTTACCACTGCGGACATCCAAAGGGAAAGGTGGTTTCAGGACTTTCTTCCACACACCGTAGAACTGCACCTTGGCACAGAATTCTGCCCATCTTCCTTTTACTTCCTCAATGTATCTGCTGTTGGTGCCACCTAGTATGCGCCGCAGCTCATCCATTGCCTAAAACAGCATTGTGCACAGTTCAACAGTTAACAATGCATTGAAATTCAGTACACAGATGGATACACAGTAACTCAAGTACAACAAACCAACATACATTTCGAACATCTTTGAAGCATGGATATGCCTCAAAGATTTTTGCAGGTCGGTCCTCTTCCTTTGTAACATCTGCATCAATGAAAGCCCGTCTGGCCTCAAACTCAAGGTCCAAAATATGAGCAACATCATTTTGATTGGGTTTTGCATTGGGCTTATTGTACATGTTGCTCAATGTTCTGTAGTGCCTAGCCTGCATCTTCAGACTGTCCTGGCCCACTGAAATGACAAAAAACCAAGCCGAGACATTTCAATGTTAACACTTTAACAACAACACAGGGGAAATAAAGCGTGGTTAAAATACAATGCACTATTTTTTGGGAAACTTTAATCCAATTTCATGGATGACAGGCTGAGAGGTGTGCTGAGGTGGGCTTACCAAAAACATCCTTTGCAGGCGTGGTTGGTGATGCAGACGTGGTTGGTGAAGCAATCGTGGGTGCGGAGCATGAGGCTGACTCGGATGGCAGCAGTGATGTTTTGGTGCCACTCTTTGGCTTCTTTCGCACAGAGGGGAGTGGTAGTGGGGATGCTTTTTTTTTTTTTTGAAATAATGAAAAAATTCTCAATACAATTATATGACAGGGCAAAATAGGCATATATAAACACAGTGCATGTCTAGCCATGAACTCTGGTTCAACAAATGTGGACAACTATAGTTTCATTACATGATTAAACATTTTTAGTCATAAACAAATTTGTATGACAGCCACCCTTTCATTTTTTTCCCACAATTTGCATACCTGCAGAGTTGTCCTCGCTGATGTCATCATTGCTCTCAAGAAGTATGGTATTATCACTCGAGTAGCTTGTGTCTGTCCAATCTGTCTCCATGTCCTGGTTGTCTGCGCTGAAGAGAGCTGTCTTGGCCGCTCCTCTTTGTGGTACGGAGCCCTGCCTCTTCCTTGGAGATCTCATATTCTGGAGTCGCTTGTACATTTTGGTGTAGATGGTCAGCTGTGGTGAAAGAATGTTAGATAAATTGTTTGTCTTGTTGTTGACCTGTCCACAGTTTTGGTTGAGAAAAATGAAAAAATATTACTTACATATGGCATATTTGTGTCAGCATCACGTAACATAGGATAATAGTCGACAATCTTCTGTGACATGGCTCTCATTTCCAGTTTGGAGGGGTATCTTGCTTGTTTACCCATGGGACTAGCACGCAGGATTGCAACCATGCTAGTGATTGTGTTCCTTACAAGTCTGCAACATAGCTCCTTTGACATCTTGTAGTTCTTTTCCTTTCCATTGCAGAGCAATGCAAAGTACTGACTACGCACCATGTCTAACTCTGAATCTGTGTACACCACATACTCTGGAGGGTCTGGCATTTTCATTGTTTTCTCAGCAGATATGGGGGTGGAGGCTTGCGGCTGGCATGGTGGCATGGAGCTAGTTGAGGGCATAATCCCGCTTCCACTGCAAGTGCTGGCATCTTGGTCCGTGGTATTTTCACACTATTAGGATTATGTAGGATGAAAACAAAATGCATTAGGACCATTAAAATATGGTACAATTTAATTTTAATAACTATTATTTATTCCAATTTGTGTTTACATTTTGATTGATGAACTCCCAAAGTTTCTTTCTTCTGAGAAAATGTCCAGGACCAGGAAAAAGATCCTTCAGGTCTTCCCGGCTAAGGCCTTTCAAAGCCTCCTCATCAACACCGGCAGCTGTAATATGACAAATAAATACCTTAAGATGAAGCAATGCCAAGCTACAGTACCAAGCAACATAAAGAGGGGCCATTTATCTCTCCCTCTGAGCTCCAACACATTTGTAAACTGTTTAACTAGTTGTCTGTGCTATGAAGCCTCCTTAAAGTCAGCGAAAATAATCATAAGCCTATCTCACAAAGATACCAGCCCCAAATAAAATCAAGGATAAAAATATTAAAGTCTGGACTTTAAACATTGGGCTACCTTTATGCCATAAGTTCAGTGTTGGTCATATTTTTTTATTTATTTACATTAACTAATTTAATTAATTCATTTAAATTATTAATCAGCACATTTGAGCTGCAACTGTGGCTATTACTCAAAAAATCAGATAATGAATAGCAAATTTACTAATTAGGTTTTCTTTAGCTATCAGCTTTTATTATTATTCCAACAAACTACATGCCAAAAGCACCTATACATCAAATATAAACTTTATTTGTGACTTACCCTCCAAGACCGATACAGTGGCATCGTCAAAAATATCCATTCTGGATTCATCGGCTCCCCGACGAATTAGGCCCAACACGTGGTAGGCTACCTAGCAAAAACACAGCCAAACAGAGCTCGTTAGTTAGCATGCAAAAGTGCACATGAGCTAACACCACCTAGCTTGCTAAGCAAGTACCCCGGTGAAAAACAATTGAAACGGTAACCGTCACAGCAACAATCTGCTCTAAAATATGATTTTGGCGACTAATATTAAAAGTTCAATTAAGTTTACTGACCTTGAGCCGCTGTTCCTTCACGAATGTAACGTGCCTCCTTCCGTTACTCAAGCGGGGAATTATTATTATTTTTTTCTCAAGCGGGGAAATCACTTGGACGTAACGTAAATCCTGACGTCATTGAGGTGGGACAGTTGGAGGACATGAGCCGACATGAAAAAAAAAAAAAAAAAAAAAAAAATGAGCCGACATGAACTAAGGATGTAAACATTAGCTTGTTAATAAAAGATTTTTAAAACAAAACTTTACCATCTTAAAATTAATGAAATAACATATACTCGGAGAAATTTTGTGTTCAAATAATAAATACAAATGATAGCATGAGCGCCCCCTCCCCCCTCCCCCTCCGGGTCATCAGCCAGCAAACAGGCGCCAACGGTGCATCACAGACGGTTCGGCATCATGGCAGCGTGGAGGTGTATGATTTGTTTCGTCTTTGTTGCTCTAAGTCTTAAAGTCCTACTAAGCCACATTAATGCAAGCCACAGTCGCAGCCCGGATTTTTTGGTTTACTGTGGTATTGATGGATGTGAACAGGACTTTAGAGTTTTCAACTCCTTCTTTCGCCACATTAAACGGACGCACCTTCAGTATTTTCGGACTGGAAGCCCACCAAGTGGATGGAGTACGACGCCTTCTTCTCGCTCTTTGGGACAGGAAACATTTGGTGTGTCCGTTTTTGCCAGCTGTAGCACCCCTGCAGCGGACAGCACTGTGGCTGTCCCACCTGGTGCCTCTCTACCTGAACCGTCACAGCAGCCTGACGCTGTCGGCCGCCTTGAATCCGTAAGTCTCCACAGTTCCATTCGTTTTGACCTCTGAGGGCCTATCTCGCCAATTAATTTGCTCTCTGTGTGATGCTGACTTGTGTAAAGTGTTTTGTTTTGTTTTATTTTATTTTATTTCCCACATACAATGGTGTATTCAAAGCCTGGCTTCCTTGAATCCATACCGGGAATGCACGCATTAATCAGGAGTAGGCTATCTTACCTTCTTTTTACAGTCTATATGACACACTCTCTCTTTCATATACAGTAAGCTAATTGTCTTCAGTGAATGCTAAGTTACCTCCGTAACACGACGTTATTCACGTGAAACGCACATAATTGAACGAACTTCACACTTACCTTGGGAAGAGACGATAGAGCTGCTCAGGTCCAAGACCAGTGAGGCAAATGTGGGATTAAAATTATTTTTTCCCCTCTCGTGCGTCCTGTTCCTCATCAATTAGTCCGTATTATGGCACGCTTTTCTCCATAAGGAGAAATGGGACAAAATGTTTTCAACTACTGTAACGTTATACAGAGGGCAATAATTGGAAACATTTTCTCATAGACTGTATTATTTACGTGCTTTAGTTCATTTAGTTTTTAGTTGTAAACAAAGTAGTACCCAGTAAAGTTAAGGTTACCTCGGTAATTAGAGCTGGGTACTTACTTGCTGAATAATAACACTGCTGTCTGAGTCAATTTTACACACTCATTGTTTGTTGTAGTCTAATTTATAATCTTGAAAAAAAAAAAAACACTTCACTGTAAGAAAAACAAAAAAACAACAACAATTCAAATCAACCCTGATTGTGTCTATCTACTCTTACTTTTATCACTTTCTGAAGGAGCAGGCTGTTGCTGTGACATCCAGAGCCAGACCTGATATTGCTAGATCTGCAGCGGCATTCGCCATCAGTGTCCGGGAACAGTGCCACTTGTCACAGGTAAATTTGTCTTGATGGACAAATGCTTTAATGGTACTATTGATATCGTATAATAATTCCTTGATTATACAATGTTTATTAAAAAATATAATTACTGTAATAATTCCTTTCTATATTTCAATGTTAACTATGGGCCTGTTAGCAATAATTATATGAGGGGAATAATATATATATATATATATATTTTTTTTATATATATTTTCACAGAGAACTGTCAACAGCGTCATCTCGGGGGTGCAACAGTACCAAGCTGCTCTCCTTGACACACTGAGGGAGAGAATCAGAAGGGTGTTTGAAGAGAATCCAGAGACAACTGCTCAGCTCCAAGATGAGGCTTTGGCTACTTTTGATACATTCACGGATCCTTTCTCAACCACAGCATATGGACAGAATAAAACTATCCGGGAACTATTCAATCCAGTCAACCCAGAGGAAGTTGTGATGTCCCAGAAGATTTGTTGGGTAAAGCGTGGTCCTTCAAGGGTCATGGCCTTAAGAAACAAAAGTTTTTACTATGTGCCACTCATTCAAAGTCTCAAGCAGTTACTGACCAATTCTAGAATCTTCACAATGTTGACCACTGTACCACAAAGAAGTAGAGAGGGATTCTTGTATGATTTTACTGATGGAGCCCTTTTTACATCCCACCCCTTATATTCTCAAAGGCCAAATGCATTGCAAATACTATTGTACACCGATGAAATTGAAATATGTAACCCTTTAGGCCCCCATGCCTCTGGCAAATAAATTATTGATGTTTTATTACACTTTAGGGAATATTGATCCAAAATTTAGGTCCAAGTTGGCTGCTATAAGACTCCTTGCTATTGCCAAGGCAAATGATATTTCTCAATGCGGTGTTGATGTTATGCTAAAAAGAATCCTAAAAGATCTGACACTTCTTTACAATGGTGTTCGGATTGAAACCCCAAATGGTGAAATTGAGTTGTTTGGTGCGGTGATAGCCTTATGTGGAGATACACTTGCCCAACATGACCTTGCTGGGTTTAAACAAGGTGTTGGTTTTGCTTATAGCAAATGTAGACATTGTGAATGCTCCTTTGATGATATGCAAAGTATTTTTGAGGAGAATAAGTTTGCTGAAAGAACTTTGGAAAACCACATCAGGCAATGTCTTGAAATAGACAAAGCAAGCACAGAAACATTGAAAGCATCCCTCAAAACCACTTACGGGATTAACAGAAGAAGCAGGCTAGTTGATTTTCCAGCATTTGACCTGATCAAACAAACTCCACAGGATATAATGCATGTAATTTTTGAAGGTGTTGCACCAATGGAAATAAAGCTTGTGTTAAAAAACCTGATTCTGTCAGGACAGATAGAATTAGATGAGATTAACTCAGCTATTATAACTTTTCCTTACTCACCTCTAGATATACGAGATAAGCCATGTCCTATTAGTGTCAGCACTTTAGCTGCTAATGACAATAAAATAAAACAGTCATGTGGACAAATGTTAATACTTTTGAAAATACTACCTTTCATTTTGAATGATATGGACAGTGAGTATGTCAAATTTATTTTCAAATTAATTCAGATTGTTCAAATTATCCTTGCTCCTGTTATTTCATTAGAAACTGTATTGCGGCTCAGGCACATGATTGAGCAACATCTGCATCAGTTCAAAGAACTTTTTTCTGAATCCAATGTCATTCCCAAGCAGCATTACATGCTCCATCTACCTAGCCAAATCATATCTTTTGGTCCTTTAGTAAGAAGTATGTGTATGCGATTTGAAGCTAAGCATAGCTATTTTAAGCAGTGGGCTTCCAAGTTAAATTTCAAAAATGTATGTAAATCGCTTGCAAACCATAATCAGTTCCTTGAATGTTGTCAAAATGAAATAGGCACTGAGCATCCAATTTTTGCTAGTGAAAGAGAATCAGGGCCTGTCTCAGCTGTCAAAAATGTTGATTATGTTAAAAGAAAAGTCAAAGATTTTTTAGGCATAGAGGTCATGCAATCTGTTGTCTCTGTGAAATGGTACATCCTCAATGGAAATAAGTACATAAGTGGGAAATCTATGATTATTGTAGCTGTAGATGGTGCTTTCCCAGTGTTCGGACCTGATTAAAGATATCTTTGTGATAGATTCCTCTTTAGTTGCTTTTGAGTACCAACGTTATGAAACACTGAATCTGAATCCAGAGTTGCTGGCATATGAGGTGGCAGTTCCCAATGTTGCCCAGGCTACAGAATTTGTAAAAGAACTAATTGACTGCATTTCCTATTTTCCAGTTAGTTTCAAAGACAATACCTTTGTTCCAATAAAATACAGTCTTTGTGACATTATTGCCCACAGACAATAATCTGGAGGAACAATAAGTACTGTATGTATGGGTGTATCATACCATACACCTCATGTATTGTGTTGGGTGAACCCAGTTTGCCTGTTTTCTGTTTGCTTTGCCAGTTTTGTGAACATCATCAGCTTGAAGTCAGAGAAATAAACTCTGTTTTTCAGATGCTTTTTGTGTGACTCTTGAATCAAGCAAGTTGAGTTTGTTACTGAATCTTAAAACAAGATTTATTTGAGGAGACTTTGGGTAAAAGATGTAATATATCTTATTTTAACAGTTATTTACCTCATTTTAAGATTCCCTGCCTATTTGAGACAAAAAAGACAAGGTTTGCTTGATATAAGATTGTAGTGTAAAGTTGAACACTTAAAATAAGAAATTAACTCTTAAAACAAGACAAATTATCTAACACTTCTAAATCTAAGTTTTTTTTTCTTGGTAAGAACCAAATAATTTGCAGTGTGCCTCTCGCTGTTCATCTTTCAAAAAAGAAATTGGAGATTCTGCTAAAACTGACTTGATAGCCTCAGCTACGCGTCCGTCCTCCTGCGTAGCCATGTTTGTTTTGCTTCGGCCCGGCACTTCTTGCTTTCGTCAAACCCGGATATCCCGCCCTAAACCCCCAGACTGGCGCGTGATTGGCTTGAACACCTAGATGTTCTACTCGAAAAGGGTTGGCGGGAGCGGGACAAGATGTATTCTCGAGTGTTTGTGAACTCACAATTACCGCGAGAATTCAGCTTGCAGGCAAGGTTAATGTTAAACAGCTCAAATGTTAAACACCAGAGGAAGCAGTCTTTGTACACGCTAATACGGAGTATCTTTTGTTGTGTTGGTTTCTTCCTTTCCTAATCTGCATACAAAGGTGTGTCTTGATCTACCAAAAGAGGCTTGCAGACTGCACATTTTCAGACTTGTCCTGAGAGAGGCTAGGCTCTGCGCCTTGCCTCTGTCAAGACTTTCTCCTTGTACAATGTAACAAGTGAAAGATTAACTATATTGTGTGAGATTTTATCAGGTTCAACTGTGATTAAAACAGCAATATTACAAATGTAGTTTTTTGCAATAACAAAGGTGTGCCACGACTCAAAAAGGTTGGGGAACACTGGTCTATTGTACAACAACAACAACATTTTATACAAAAACAGCCAATTATGCTATGGAAGATCTATCTACATCATAAAATTGCCAGCGGTATCACTGGCACATCTAGTCCATAAAGTGAGACTAATTGTAACACTGAATACAATGTCCTATTAGGAATAAACTACGACCAGATTAGTGTCAGATATTTTGTATACAGTATATATTTATTATGCCTTCTCATTTTTGTTCTTTTCCTTTGTACGTAGGTGATGAAAAAGTTCCTCTTCTGCCTCATCTCCAACAGACTGCAGGCTACTAACATTTAGGACTAAATCATTGCTGTCTTGTCCTAAAGCACATAGAAATGGTCACAGAAAGTCACATAAAATATGTGCAACGTACACAAAAAATATAGATATAAATAAGACTCACGTGTCCTTCAACATAAATACAATTTTTCCATCATGTGGCTTAAAAAAAGTGTTTTAAACGTAATAACTGTGGCCCAACTTTTTAATTAAATTGCTATATAAATGTTTTCTAACATTCTCTCATCATTCGTCCGACAGAAATGATTCGGGTGCATTTTCCTATACGCTGTGAGTAATTTCATGACGGATCCCAGCCACTTTTAATCTCCAAATAAAATGCCTGTGCAATGTCATTTGGTAAATTAATTAAACCTCGCTGACTGCACAATGTTTTATGAGCTTGTTGCTGTAAATATGCCACACTTAATTAAATGACAAAAATAAATTAAAGTTGGATTAGTGAGCAAACGACCTCTTCCTGGTTTAGGTCAGAGGAGGTGCCGAGCGAGCCACGTGTTTAAAATCACAATTAAGAAGCAACTGTCAAGGATCAACAACAATCACATTATTACTTTTCTGCAAATGGTGTTAATGTTTTACAGTGTAGTGATGTCATGCTGTGTATTATTTCCTGTTTATCAAATGCTTCTTACGATTGTCACTGCCACAGCTTGAGAACCCGGTCGGTCTTTAAAAGTCCTCACAATCTAATCCAATCCAATCAGCTTTTTTTTTACAGCACACTTTTTAAAACAAGTTTCCAAAGTGCTGCACAGAGATAAAATTAATACATTTAAATACACAGGTTTGCCAGCCCTATATGTTTAAAAAAAATAGAATTAAAACATTATGCACAGAGGAAAAACCACAAACAATATAAACTATAAAATAACAGTTATACAATTTAATAATTAACTAAGCAAAACTTAAAACAATAAAATACCAGTTAGGGGCCAGTGCTTTGTGAATTGGGTGGAACTCTGACTGCAACCCCCCCGACCAGAAATGGATTATGGGGAAAAAAGATGGATGGATGGATGGGAAATACCAATTTAAAAATAAAAGCAAAACTAAAAACAATAGAATAAATAAAACACATAAAACAGAGGACCACACATCTCATGCTGTGCGATGTTGTTAGCTTAGCCGTAGCACCAACTGGAAACCACTCCCCCCTCCCCTCACCTCTCCACCAAAACAAACATCCAGCCTTTTCTTTTCTTTGTCACAACAGGGAGAGTGGGCGGCAAACGTGAAATTGGCATTTTCTGTTCAGTCCTTTTAGGTTTTAGAAAATACGGCAATAACTCAGGTGCGCACACTCGCGAGAAACAGGAAGAGGGTGAAGGGGGTAAACGCATCCCATTGGTTCATTTTTATCGGTCCGCTCCAAAATATTCTTTATTAATTTTTGGAGACTAGACATCTGGTCGATTCCATTGCTATTTGAAAACACATGATAACTTGACTAATTTTAGGGTTTAGGGATACAATATTTAAAAAAATGCAATATTTTCCAGATGCATATTTAAAAAAATGCATCTGGAAAAAAATCACCGACTTCATCTTTAAAAGCCAGAGAGTAAAATTGTGTCTTTATTTTTTCTCTTTCATCAAAAAGAAAGATAGAAATAAGATAAAATGATAATAATCCTTCAGTTGTATGCACAGCTAAACAGGCTCCTTTTGAACCTGGATTTCTACAACAATACTACATAGTGCCATCCAAGTATGAATTAGAACTGACTCAGAATCAAACTAAAAAACCATATACAGATACACACCGTACACACACAGAGCGGCGGCCTGTGTGAAAAAACATTCTTTTTTTACCTGGGCTGTAAACACGGACACATCTCTGTGACACAAACACATGTACGGTGTGAGCGGAGGGAGCTGCAGTCTTCACTTCATCTCTCGCCTTTCCACTTCTCACACAGCCTCACCTTGGATCTCTATGGTAAAAAATACTCTGCTTTAGCTGTTTTTATGCCTCCAAAGAACCTTGTCCACAATGATTTTGACATGAAATAATCTGACATGAAAAAGGTCTACCACTTGCAAAAAATGTGTATATATTTTTGTGAACGCTGGTTCTTACACAATACCTCAGTAACTCAGACCAGATTAGTTTGTTTTAAGTGCTTGACTGCAAGAAGAAGATCCAGGACACTCGACATTCAAAAACATTTATGGACATTTATTAACAAATATGGGGCGACACTGGATCCCACCACGAGACCTGCTCCCACTGCTGTCTTTGTGTCCCTGGGCAAGACACTTAACCCCACTTTGCCCCGAAGCCCCCGCTGAATGATCAAGCCTGTGTCATCGCTCATGGAGCAGCCATCTTCCTGTGGACTCACCACCTGCAGGAGGATCAGTGAGAGACTGGTGCTATGAGCATTGACTTGCAGCTCTGATGGTCACCCCCCGACCCAGAAATTGATTAATAAAGGGGGAAAAAAATGAATGAATGAATGAACGAATATTAGGACACTGGTCATCTCCCCCTTATGGACCAATGGTTCAATGTGGCTCTATGCCATACTGGCGTGAGGGCCTACTGCTTTCACAGAGGTGACACAAGAGGTTACTGTGAGTGACGGATGCATCAGTGCCTGATTTGCCGCTTTTTTTTTTTTCAAAATTGACTATTTCAAATTTGCTCCCGTTTACTCTTACAAAGTTTGATGAGCACCAAACGTGAATCGATAGTTCAACACTTGGAGCTAGGTCAGCTGAAAGTGAAAAATATGAAATTGCAGCATTAGCGCCCCCTACAGTGTAGGGCTCTGTTTTACTGTTTCAAAAAGCCACTGTCTTCTTGCTGATATACTGTGGAGCGAGATCTCTCTTGACAGATCTGTCCTCAGACTGTTTGATGGAAATAGAAAGACTTCCTGTGTGTATATCTGCGTGATGAATGGGGTGTATGTGTGTCCTGGGTCATATCTCCATCATTCATAACCTGGTGCCTTGTTCTAAGGTAAATCTGTCTTTAGACCTGGGTGCATTTAGACAGGAGCAGAACAAATAATGAAATAAAATGTGCTTCTACTTCAACAGCAGCAAATGTGGTTTAGAGCTGAAGGAGGAATGGCAAAAAGCAAAATAGAATGTTTTTTGGGAGCAGTGCAAAACATCCAGAGATCCAACAGTAAAATCAACAATCCTAACAATCATGGATTTCCAAATAAAAAGTATGTACAAATACATAGGATTATTTCTTAAATGGCGTCAAATTAAACATATAAAATGGTAAAAATAATGCAAAATGCCCTGTCTCAATATTGTGGCATTGAACATATGACATTTTTTTTCATTACAGTATTCTGCATACACTGTAGATTCATCTCACTGAGTATTTTAAGACTTTAAATGAAATAGCACTTTGACTTTTTGAAAATGTTTGACTCTCCTCCATTTAACCACTCGGATCGTGTCTAAGACGAGGCGGCTCTGCTTGGGCTCCCTTTGTTTCAGACAGATTTTAAGGTTCTTTTAACTGTTCTTGTCAGGCCTGATGTTAAAGCAGTATGGATATATGGCTAATACACGACCTGAGATATTAGTGCAACTTTTCAATTAAAATGCAGGGAATAAATAAGAGCAGGTCTGTGGGAGGCTCTCGGTCCACATGGTTTCTCTGCTGCAGCTTTCAAATCAATCCAAAATGATGTATTATTTTATTTATTATAGAACACAAATCCACACAAAAAAAAATGCATACCTTTGTACATGTTTTAAAAAGGGGTTGGATTACACAGATGCTTTTAAACTTCCAACCCCCACTCACCACAAAGCAAATCATTAAGACAAAAGAAAAGTAGCAAAGTTATACACACACGCACACACACACACACACACACACACACACACACACAATATGGAAGGCACAGCAGATGCAGTAGACCTAGAATCAGAACCAGCTCTGAGCTTCTCTCCTCTCTGTGTCACTGCTCTCAGGAAAGCTGCCTCTGGCTCAGTGTACGCCTTCACTCATCAACGTATTCATAAAACTGCCCCAGACTATTACAATAAGCCACAAATACTCTCAACTACAGGGAAGTACAGGTGTAGCTGGCCAAATTGCAACAGCACCTGTCTCCTCCTCATCTTCCTCTTTTCTTTCTCCTCATTCAAGCCTTTTTTCTTCTGACATAACAACCACAGCACATCATCTATCAGTGGAGTTTGGTGGTCTCTCTGTGCTCCAGTTATGTTTAAACAGTGTGGGTTTGAGCAGCCTCCTCTTTCTCATTCTGAACAGTGTCTCTGCAGGACCACAGCTCACCGGGGTCTCATCTGCCCTTCTAACACACAAACACACAAACACAGGCACATTTTGGAAATGGCTCCCAGCGTTGACGAGGTGTTCTCTAATATTGAAAGTGCTATCTCCCGCATGCTGCTCTCTGGGCTGACATTTTGCTGCATTACTAATTCTGTCCTCTAGTCTTAGAGGCTGAAGCAGGGGTCTCATCTCTGTTAAACTGAGGGCCACATGAGGTCGAGTTTAAGTGAAGCTGAGCCACACAAAGCAATATTTTTGTGCACATTTGTGTAAATTCCACCGGAATAATAAGTGATTAAGACAGTTTGTCGTTACTCTACTCGCCAGTGTGTTCGGCGTCTCGCTTCCGTCATCACCAGTCGTGGAGAATTTGGGGAATTTCTGAACATTGTAAAGGGCTTTGGGTGACCTCAGTCTGTAAAATGCGCTATATGAATACACATGACTTACTTACTTACTCACTTTTGCAAAAACTGGTGAATAGAACAGCAAAAACAGTGTTAAAGTGGTAAGTAAACAGTGTGTTGCTATGGTAACTATGGTCTCTTCTCAGGTGGAAAACTAAGATGACTCGGCTCAGAACCAGTCCAGGACCAGTCCAGGACCAGCACCTTGAAAACGGATGCCTTTTAAAGTTTGTTAAAAAGCAACCGAAATTGGCTTTTGGTTAAAATTTGAATTTTAGTTAGTTGTAACTACTAAACTACTAAACTACTAA